GAAAGAGTCTCAGTTTGGGAAGACGGAAAGTTCCAGAGATGGAGGTGGAGATAGATGCACAGCAGTGTGGACACACTTATTGCCACTGTACATTTAAAAACAGTTAAAATAGGAAGTTTTGGTATGTGTATTTTGTTGCAATCAAACAAAGAATGCAGAGTCGTATAAAGGATGGGTGAGAGCTGTGTGGACTGATGCGGGGGGCCCGAGAAGATTCGGTGGCTGAGCGAAGCGCATCTAAGGAGCGGGCGGGAGAAAATCCTCCTGCGCGTGCTCCCCTGGCAGAGGGCACGCGGAAGGGATACTGGGAATGGCGAGGCCGGTGGGACTGGTCACCTTGGGTGGAGAGGGGATGGGACGGGGGAGGTGAGGGGCGGACTTCTTCAAGCACCGCCTTTTTACAGAGCTGAGAACCACAGGAAAGCTGAGCACACCAGAAAAAAAAAACAAACAAAGAAATAAACCAAACGGGATGTGGGGTGAACGCAAAACAATGTCACGCAGGAATAAGCCATCCCGACTGCGTTACAGGTGAGTGACAGGGCTGTACGGGGGGCGGCGGCAAGCAAGGAGCAAGCCTGGCGGCTGGGGAGAGTGGAACGCTAACTGGACACCGTGAGGCTATGACAAAGGGTGTGAACAACGCTGCCCTCCACGTAGCAGATCTGCCTCTCACGGGGCAGCGGGCTAGCGATTCTGAAACTGCCTCTGGCGTCTGCTCGGACTGACAAGTCCGCAAACACACTGTGGGTAACTGGAGCCGGTTTGTCTGCTGTCGGAGGGAGAAGTTACAAGTCCGGAGGGGGCGGGCTACGGGGAACCCCGCGGCGCTGGCTGGGAATCTGAGATGTACCAACTCGTTTTCAATGTCAATGCAAATGGACAGTATGGAAATAAACACAGGTGTGTGAGCGTGTGTCTGTGTGTGTCCGTGTGTGTGTGTGTTAACACGGAGCTCGATTTCCTGCCCTGCCCAGGAGAGAGCCTAGGGCGATGACACCCCGGGAGCGACGAGCACGCTGACGCCCCGACTGTGGGCTCCAAACACTGCTCTCCCACGGGAGGAACCGGTCTCCTCGCAGAGATGTCGGATGCAGGGCTGGGGCAGGGAAAACACAGGTGAGACCACACGGGTGCTCGAAAAAGGAAGCGGCACGTTGACAGGGCGCGGGGCTCAATCTAGAATGAGACCCCTACGGCCAAAGCCGGAACGAGCTGGGCAAGAACACAGTGACAGCAGTGGACTGAAACCCGCGTGAAACCCACTGGATAAAATGAATATCCATGAGCCCAAAGCGAAGGCGTAAACAGGTAGACGGGGGAGACAGGCCTTTCCTAGAGTCCCCGTTAACGAATGCGGGAGGAATGACGGGAACAAAATGATCGCAAACGAGACAGGCCTTTCCTAGAGTCCCCGTTAACGAATGTGGGAGGAATAATGTCAAAATGGTAACTTACGGATCCACGAGGGACACTCGGATGAGTGGGCGACGTCCGACGGGAGACGGAGCAGCCAAGTCCCACCCGCAAGACGTCCGTTCATTAGCCGGGAACGACAGTGACTTTACAGCGGAGAAAGCTGGCAGACACCACCTGACCAAGCGATCGAGGCCAACCTCGCACCATCGAAGGACAGGAGGACGCCACGTGTCCCTGACATGCTACCCTGAGAGGGACACAGCATCACCTCTGCTTTTCTGGACAAAAACCATCAGACAAACCCAAACGGATGCACATTCTACCAAATACCAGCCAGTGCTCTTCAAAAGCGTCAAGGTCGTGAAAGACCGAGAGAGACCGAGAACAGCCACGGACTGAAGGCCAAGGGGACGTGGCAGTTGGGCCCGACGAGGGCTCTGCAGTGAACCCTGGAGCAGAAGGGCCAGTGGGAAGCCGGCGAAATCCCGAGGTCCGAGGCGGACCAGTGGCACTGCACTGTTCGCCCCTGGCTTCGATGACCGTGCTGTGGGAACACGGCGGGTGACATTACTGGGGCTTCACCTCCATAGAACATGAACCGTGTGGCAGGGAGAAGCCCAGGGAGACGAGGTCCTGGACGGCTGCGACTGGACAGCGACCCTTCGTTCCCACCCCACCTCTGCCCAGCGGTTTAGTAACTTCGGGCGTTCGATGAAGCCCGAGGGAGGAAGAGTGACCAGGACCCCTGTGGGGACAGGGCTGCTGAGACGGCACTGCCCGCCCAGGCCCACTCACCTTCGGAGGAGGGACTGCTGCAGGCTCTTGCAGGTGGCGAGGGACTCCCCGGTGAACATGTGGCACATGACGACGTGCAGGCAGCGGGCCATGAAGGCCAGCACGGCCTCGGGCTGCAGGGTGCCGCTGCGGGAGACGAGGCAGAGGCGCTGCAGCGCGGAGCACTGGCTCAGCGCCTGGAAAAACTGGGCGTTGGCGCTGAAGTAGGGCTGCTCCAGCCTGCGGGAGAGAGGCAGCGTGAGTCCCCCCCAGGGCCGGCCCCGCGGGGACCCGGCCCGCCCAGCAGCAGCCAGGCCCCGAGACCAGGCGCAGGGCCGCGCCGGCCAGGCTGCCCCCCAGTTGTGGGGGCACTGCCACATGCCGGGGTGACGCCGTTCCCTTCCCTTGACACTCTGAGTCTCCCCCGCATTTGGCCAAACTAATCCATCTAGCTGCCCTACCCCCAAGACCCACTCCCTGTAAAAACACCGCAGCGGACCTGGGACTGGGGTCTCTGTGGGCCACAGCCCTTCTCACGGAGCACACCCCACCCCCCAGGCGGGCCGGGCCAAGTGACGAGACCTCCATCTGCACGTTGAGACCCACAGGGACCTCGCGAGACCAGGGTGGTGACCTCCCGCGAGGAAGAAAGAAGCTTCCACAGTGAGTAAGAAACGCCCACCCACACCTCCAAGAGGCCTGCGCTGGGAGGTGTCCCCGTGTGGGCCCCCCGGGTTCCCAGGTGGAAGGAGAGCCCAAGTGCTCTGAAGGCAGGGACCCCCTGAGAGAGGCTGGGCCCCTCCTTTCCCATTCCAACCAGGAAGCAGGTAATGGAGTCGACAGGCACCCCCCCAAGTCCCAAACCCCAATAAGAGCCACACGGGCCTCCTGCTCCAGCCTCCATCGCCCTGACTCGGGGTACTAACGAGTCGCAGGACGAGAGAAGGGGTTTAAAAGCGGCTCCGTGCGAAAAATGCTAATGCTGGTCACTCAGGGCGGCAGCAGCTCCGGGACGGTCTGCTCCGAGCCATCCCGCCACCGAAATGCCGCCACCAAGACTGGATTTGAACTTTAATGAAATGTAAATACAGGTCCCAGTAACCTCCTGACGCTGACTGTGAGGGGACACGCGGGTCCCTCTGGGGTGCGACCTTGAACAGCCTCACGCCCCCTCCCCACCAGCTGGGCGGGTGTGCAGAAGCCCCTGGTGGGCCTGTCTGGGCACAGACCAGGAAAAGACCTGGCCAAGCAGCCACGGCCACGGGCGACACACAGCGCTGCCCCACGTCACACGTGCAGCGTGAGCCTCGCCCCTGACCCCACTGAAGGAACTTCATCCTGAAAAAACCGGGGACCCAGGGCCACGAGGGGAGCGCAGCGCCTCTGAGATGCGACGGGGCCCCGACCAAGGGGAAGGCCGGGAGCCCGGACGGCAGCACACGTCCCCACTATGGCCGTGCTCCCTTCCTCCAGAAAATGCTTCAACGCTCTATTTGGTTCTTTGAAAAACAATTAAAAAAAAATCCCAAGGCAGGCATCCCTTAGCAGACCTGAAAGGCAGCCGAGTGGAGGGGGCGAAAGGCCCAGAAACGGGACTGCTGAGCGGCAGTCACCGGCTTTTGCCCCCAACCAGCCAGGAGGTGGCGACGCAGCAGGGGGAAAGGGTGGGGCGGCAACGCGGGCCAGTGAAAAGGGACACTAGGTGGCGACACAGGCCTGTGCTACCTGCCGAAGACCTTGGTCCAGCCTCCGGGGCCACAAGCCGAGCAGGCAGAGTGAGCGAGCAGACGCTGCGTACGCACAGGTTTCCTACCAGCCACTTCCACAACCTCCCACCCTGAAGGAGGCCACTTGTCACAGACATTCTGGATGGGGGCAGGCCTGGTGGGAGTGTCCAGTCCACTCCACCGGCTGTCCAGGCAAGAGGGGCTGGCTCGTCCAGATCATCCCTTGCCCCTCCACACAGTGGGCTGGCAGAACGGACCTGACGTGTGACTGGCGGGGTCTGTGGTTTGGGCAGGGGATGGAAAAGGGTATCCCCCGTGACCGGCTGTGCCTTGGGGCGGGGGGTCTGCAGTCCTTCTCCCTCCCAGCGGGGCCTCAGCCTCCCAACTAGTGAAGATCTGGCCTCCGAAGCCCATCCCCCAAAGGAAGCTCGGTCTCCCTGAGGCGGCAGGGGCCCCGCCAGGGATCTGGGGCCGCCCCTTCTCATCCACCCGCCCGCCCCTCAGAACACCCAGCAGCACCGGTCCTCTGGGGCCTGGCTCTGAAAGGCCCTCTCGCTTCCACCCAGACACTGCCCTGGTTCCGACATGACCAGCAACCTAGGATGACTCAGGGTAGTGCTCCCTCTCCCTGCTCCAGAAGGCAGGGCTTAATCGGTCTCAGGAACAAAGGGGCCCCTGCCTGTCCAACTTACAGCCCTTTCACTAGCCGGCAAGGCCCCACCACGATGTGCGCCCACCCAGGAGCAGCCCGGGGCGCTGGCTGGCACAAAACTCGAATTCACTGGCCTCACTGGTGTGGACAGCGGTGACGGCGGCCGGCCGGCCTGGGATCCAGAGGGCTGCCATCTCAGGAACGTTCCATCGGGTCCCGCAGGAGCTGCCCGGGGGCCAGCCTCCCCTGAGCCTGGTTCGCACCCTCCTTTCTGTACTGCTGCCCACGCCAGCAGGCACCCCCTGCTCCTCGCCCTCCAGCCTCCCCACAGAAGGCAGCAACCCAGAGTAGAGTCACCTGGCCACGTTTTAGAAACCGGTGTTTGCCCCAAACAGGCAGTACCAGCCCCGACCACAAGGGGCTTGCAGCAGCCAGCGTGCACAGAGGCCATCAGGAGCTGTGGTCGGGGTCTCGGGCTGGCCTCCGAAGCTCATTCAGCGGAGTCCCGCAGGCCTCCCCAGCCACGACTCACACTGTGTGCACGGCCCGCTCCTGGGGGAGACCTCGGCCACAAGGGTCACACCCGAGGCCCCAGAAGCCACTCAGTAACCACGAAATGCTGCTGTTACCCCATTCGACTGCCGACGGCCTTTGAGGCGGGAATGCTCCTTAGCTGCCCACACACCAGCTGTCACCTGGCAAGTTCACTAACCCTCTGGGCCTCGCTTTCCTCATGTGCAAAATGGGTCAGTAATATGCAATTCCCATGGCTGCTGAAAAGGGGTCGGCACCTGAAGCACAGGGAGGCACCTGGCGGCCGTCCCAGGGGAGCCAAACCAACCCAGTAACTGCAGGCACCACGACCACTTGTCCTGGCTTCTAGAACACCTGCCCGCTCCCCACGCTCCTGCTCCCCACCTGTGCTGATCCCTGCTCCTCCTGACCGATGCCTGTCCCCAGTCTGTGGGCTCTCCAGACCCCCATGCTGGCTGAGGCAACTCCTCCGCCAGGGATTCAAACTCACCTGTGTGCGCGGGCCACACGGCCTTCCTCCTCTCAGAAGCCTCTGACCCACCCTGACCCCTACCCTATGCATCTGATCAGTCAGCAAATTCTCCGTAAAGTCAGAATCCCACCATTTCTGGCCACACGCCCTCACCCCACTCTGGCTCTGCCTGCCGCAGCCCCTGCCCTGGCCCCCAGGTTGTTTCCAACGCGGCGGCACAGCCTGTCCTGTCTCCCCTCAAAAGCACCACTGCAGCATCGCGGCCCCTGCTGGTCCCAGAAGACCCCAGCACACCCGCCTCCGGGCCCTGCTGCTACGCAGCTCTGTGGAGCGGAACTTCCTGTGCGGACGGGACGCTCCACGTGTGCTCTGTCCGACACGGCGGCCACTGGTGCACACGTCTAACGCTGCAGAGGACCTGAACACTGGGTTTTATTTCATCTTAATTCATTTACATGTAAGTCGCCCTGTGGCTCGTGGACACTGGGCTGGCTGGTGCAGCTCCATCTGCCTAGAATGGCCCGGAACATTCTTCCTCCAGGTTCTGCTTTGCAAACTCAACTCTTTGAATTCTTTGCTCAGATCTCACCTCTCTCACGAATCCACCCCAGCCGCCAGCCCTGCGCCCGGGCACCCCTGCCCTGCTCTGCCCTTTCTCCTCGGTACTTGTTACTGTCTGATGCGCCACACACTTTCTTATGTTCACTGCTGGTCTGTTTTCCCCACTAGAATATGATCCCCAAGGACGAGGATCTCTGTTCTGTCCAGTGTCCTAGGTCCCAGAACAATCCCTGGAATAACAGGTGCTCAAATGTTTGCTGAGTGGATGAAAAACTATAACCTGCATCGTGGTTCCAAGCCCCGCCTTAAGTGCCTTCTAAGTACCAGCTCCTTTAGTCTTCACAGCCCCACTTTACAGATGGAGCTGGGCACACGCAGCCCCAGGTCCACCTTGGCTGGCTGACTCCGGGGCCCTTCCTGTGGATCCTGTCCCACGGGACCTCCCTCCACCCAGGAGGCAGAGGAGCAGGGCCAGGGCCCTAAAACCAGTGAGGCTCAGGGATACGGGACCAGCTCAGATGCCACGCCCACCCCCTCTCCACCAGGCCAAGCAGCTCCAAAGGAGACAGAGCGCGATGAAGGGCCCTGCAGCCCCGGCGAGCGGGTGCCCTGGCGCTGGCCATCCCCAGGCCGCTCAGACAGCAGACCCTGAAGTTCTCGGACACGAGGAAGATGCTGAGAGTCAGTACTTTTCATCACCTGCCTTTGAGAACTCTGACTTCTTAAAGTACGTGAATGTATTACTTTACTTCATTGATTTCTATTCAATCAAAGTCTCCCCGATGATGACCGAGTGGTCTGACCGACATTGTTAGAAAATGTGCAAAGTTGAATGGGCTGGCAATAGAACAAAAAATCTGATGGCAAAAATGACAGATCCAGAACTCCAGAAACACCTTGGCTCTGAGTTCCGTTAAATTATAACTCAAATGCTCACTTGCGCTCCCCAAATTAAGGAATATTCAATTCCTGATCACGAGACTCCAACAGGGTGTCAGGACAGCTGGCTGGCAGGATTTCATTTGGTAAGTGCATTCTGGATGCATCTGCAGCTTCGAGTTACACATGACCACTAACCACATCGCCGCTCCTTCCGGAAAAGCAATGGGTGACAGTGAAGACACAGGAAGAGATGAGGTGGGAGGGGGCACTGGACAGAGGTGGACCCGTAAGAAAAGAGGACAGACGTGGTGGCTCCTGGCGGAGATGGGCAGGAAGGCCGGCTCCGCACTCCTGCCACGTCGGACAGGCTGTGAAAGGAAGGCCGGGCCGCCCTTCCAGGGGGCGGTGAACGGGGCTCACTGCTGTGGTCGCGGCCCCTCCTCCACTCCTGGCAGGCAGGTGACACCCCACCCCAACCTGGCGGGACAGGGGCCCAAGACAGAGCAATCAACATAGAGGACATGACTCGGGCCACGAGGCAGAGGTGAGCAGGGAGGATGTGAGGCAGAATCAGGAAGCAAAGATCCAGCCCGCAGTCCTCATCCCTGCTGCGCCCGGGAAGCCAGTGGCCAGGGGTGCACCAGCCCACTTGGGCACCCCTGTACCTGGAGCAGGAGGAGGGTCCCAAAGGGCCCCGGAATGGGAACGGCAACTCTGCCCGCTGCACATTCTTAGCTGTCTCATCTTGTATCACCTCTAGCAAGCTCCCTCGGCAGCTGGGATACGCGTGGCTACCACACACATGGCCGCAGCGTTTAACAAATGGGGCTCACGATTTGCATAACTTTGGCTCAGACGCCTAAACCAGCAGATTCTGAAAATGACATTATGGTTCCCTAAGCAAGTGTAACTGGGACTCACAGGGCACAGCACGAACAACCGCACCCTCCCCAGAGAGGGGGCTCTCAGGACACAGGCTGAGAACGCTGAGGCTCACGCGACCTGCTCTGCCGTCGAGGAGGCCAGGGCTGTGCTGGGAGGGTGGCGCGCGGCCTGGCTGAGAAGCTCTGGAAGGCTCCAGGGTACGAGCAGCTAAGCCTTCTGCCGGCTCCAGCTCACATATGGTTCATTTCCTGTGATGTGACACACTCATCTCCATTTTCTGTGGCTCAAGGGCCAGGATCAAGCCCTGGAGTCAGACTGACTGGGGTGACTCTTACCTCCTCCCTCGAGCCCCCACTGCCTCGTCAGTGGGGATGCTATGAGCGTAGCCCAGACAGTGCCCGACGCCCTTGCCTCTGGCCCTCAGCGAAGGCAAAAAGTGAGTGCAGCCACCGTGGGGACAATGACACGCGTGCGCACGTCTCAGTGCCCCTCTGGCTACGGCCTCTCAGAGAGACCTGCCCCATCGCCACATCCTCCCCAACCCGAAACCCTCGCAGAGCCGAGGTCCGCTGCCAGCACTATCTTTGGGCAATTTCTGGGAAATGATGCAATACTTTAAGATCAAATCTATCAAGATTTTCAAATATGTCTCAACACAACAAAGAGTTAGCCTTTAAATGCGGGGCCCTCCCGAGAACACCGCCCCCTCCGCAGCAGGATTCAGGGCGATCCACGTCGTGCAGGTGTCCCCGTAACAACAGCCAGCGTGGATTCTGTCTCCTCTCACTCTTGGATCAGCCCTGCCATCCTGCCCCAGACCGCCGTCACCTCTCAGTAGTGTGCGGAACCCCCTTCTGAACCCACCTTTCTATCTCCCCCACCCCGGCCCCTCCAGTCCAGGTGGGATGCCTGGCAATCGGACCCCTCCGTCTGCCGGCTGACGGTTGCGTACACAGCATCGCACGGCACAATCACCGGAACGGCTCCAGAGCTGAGGGCGATGTGCAAGCTCGGGCAGCACTGCCTCCTGCACCGCCTACCCGGGCGCCGCCGACTGCAGCTTCCCAAGCCACCACACCTCCGAGTCCCGTCACACAGCTCATGGCCCCTTGCCAAGCCTCCTCCCAAGACTTCCGGCTCCTGGAGGGCAGGCACACGGCAGGGACACAAGCGCCTGCCAGTCAAAGGCCACGCGACTCGCTCCCTCTCCACTGCCTCAGGCCCCCAGAGGGCCAGCCGAGGCCATGGAGGAGCTGCCAGGGCCCCCTCACCTGAGGTCCCTCAGCCGCTTGCAGTGCTTCAGCATGTCCGAGAGAGCGGACATGTAGACCACCTTCCCCATCATGCCCAGGTTGGCCAGGGACAGGGACTGGAGCTGCTGGCACTGGAGGCCGATGCTGACCAGCCCGGAGCCTGTCAGGATGCTGGGAAGCTGGGCCAGCGTCAGGTGCCTCAGGAAGGCCAGCTGGCCGATGGCGGCTACCTCCGAGTCCCCGACGTTCTGCGCCCGGCTGCACGGGGGGAGGGAGTTGCGGATGGCGGGCTCGTTGCGCGGCATGGCGGAGGAGAAGTTGGACCCTATGAGCTCGAGGCGCTCCAGGAAGGGCACGCTCTTCAGCAGAGACCAGAACACGGAGGAGGGCTGGGGGCCCGCCTGCCCCGAGAAGGGGCTGGGGTACGTCTGCACGCCGATGCGGACCTTCTTGCCAAAGCCGCAGGGCACGGCGTGCATGGCGGGCTGGGCGGGCGCGCGGTCGGCACGGGGCGCCGAGTCGGCGACGGAGCAGACGGGCAGGGACAGGGAGCGCAGGTGGCGCAGCCGGGCCAGCAGCTGGCACAGGTGCCTGCCCGGGCGCTCGGAGCTGTGGTGGTGGGCGGCGGAGAGGTTGAGGTGCCGCAGGCCGCCGCAGGCCACCACCAGGGTCTCCAGGATGCCACTATCGATATCGTCCTCCGCCTTGCGCAGCAGGGAGTCCGGGGACAGGCAGTGGACGCAGCCGCTGAGGTTCAGGCTCGCCAGGCTGCGCAGGTCCTTGCCGCCGTTGATGACGCGCTGGATGAGGTGGCCGCCGGACAGGGTGCAGCGGCTGAAGCTGAAGTAAAAGGGGTTGTTGAACTTGAGGTGCTGCAGCAGGGACGAGCCGTTGAGCCAGGACTTGGGCAGCTGCAGGGCGTCCAGCACGACGTTGCGGGCCATGGAGTCCAGGAGGTTCTTGGTGGCCCCGCTCTCGGCGAAGCTGCCGGGCACGGAGATGAGGAAGGCGTGCAGGTTCTCGGGCGTGCGGTCGCTGAGCACGGCCAGGTAGAGCCGCACCACCTCCTGGTTGATGTAGCCGGGGGCCAGGCGGGCGTAGAAGACCCGCAGGTTCTGGTAGTGGGGCACGTTGCTCTGGCCCACCATGAGCTGGCCCGAGAGGATGGCGCCCTCGCGCGTGCGGTCCAGGATCTCGAAGTACAGCAGCAGCTTCTCGAGGCTGGTGCAGCAGGGCACGACGCCGTAGGACGGCGTGAACAGCGTCTGCTTGAGCTCCCGCACGCGGCTCAGCGTGGCCTTGCACTCGCTGCTCAGCTGGCTGGCGTCGAAGCCGGGGCTCACGTCGATGGCCAGGGAGCGCAGGTGCTGCAGGGCCGACAGCATCTTGGACAGGCGCAGGGAGGTCAGGTGGCAGCCCGAGAGGTTCACCTTCACCAGGCCGCGGCAGCGGGCCACGTGCTCAATGGTGGAGCCCGACAGCCAGTAGCAGCCGGCCATGTTGAGCTGCTGGATCTCCCGGCCGATCTCCTTCACAAGCTGCTTCACCTTGTCCTCACTGGCCTGCAAGGTAGGACAGGGCGGGGGAGGGAGGACGGGGCTGAAGGCACGCAGGTGTGTCCCTCACCTTCATCCCCCAGCCGAGCGGGGAGCGTGAGGGCCTGCAGAGACCCGGCCCTCCAGCTAAGGAGGGACACTCAGGGAGAGCTGGCGCCTCGTCTCCCTCCCCACACGTTTACCTTAAGCCAGCGACCAAGTCCCCAGCCGCGCTGGGGATGCGAAGCGGTGCAGCCGGCGCGGAAGTCTGCTGCTTCGAAACGCTGAACAGAGCTCCCCTGAGATGACCCAGCAGCTGCACTGCGGGGTGTACGCCCGAGGGACTGAAAGCCCCGATTCACGCGGACACGTGACAGCCACGCCCACAGCAGCCCCGTTCACAAGGGCCAAAGGTGGCGGCAGCCCAGTGTCCGTCAACATATGAACAACGAACAAAACGGGGTCCGTCCGTACTATTCTGCCTCAGAAAGAAGGGAAATTCTGTCACGTGCTACAACATGGATGAACCTTGGAGACATGCTAAGTGACAGAAGCTGGTCACAGATCACATGATGTAGTATTCCACTTCTATGAAACATCCAGAATAGGCAAAATCACAACCAGGAACTAGAACAGAGGTTCCTTGGGGTGGGGGGGAGAGGGGTGGGAATCGCTGCTTGATGGCTCCAGGGCTTCCGTCCAGGGTGGTGCAAAGGGCTGGAAACAGTGATGTGATGGCTGCACTTTTAACGCTACGGAATTACACACCTAAAAATGGCTACGATGGCAAATTTGATGCTGCGTGGGGCATTTTTCATCGCACGGTGGACCCGGTCCCTGGCAGCCGGCTTTGGCTCTTGCTCTCCTTTTAACATGCATTTTCACACCATTAACTTTTCCTCAGACACCTGGCCTGGCCTGCTCAGGTGAGCCACAATGTCCAGTCAGGGGCCCAGCAGCTGGAGGCCGACAGCTGGACACCATGGCTGTTGCCAGCGAGGCCTTGGGACAACACTGCATGGGGCACCCGTGTACGTAACACTCGGGCATCTGAACCCAGTCTGAGGGAAACGTCCACAGGTGGCACGGCGAAGGGTGCAGACGTGTCACAGCCCTGCCCCGTCCTGCACAGGCAGGAGCCTGCTGGGAGGGAACCTTGACCGGGCGTGCGGGGACTGAGCTCGCCCCCCTCTTCCCCACCAGCGAGGCGCACGGCGGCTCTCGCAGGGCTCTGCAGCGTCCCCGCTCGGGGCTCCAAAGGCGGTAACGGCAGTTAGGAGCCATTAAATGAGTTAAGGTCACATCCTCAGCTTATTTCTATCTTTAAGATCAGTTGTCAACTGATTTTTCAGCAAAGGTGACAAGGCAATTCACGATATAGGATAATAACCTTTCAAAAAATGGCGCTGGAGCAGCAGACTAGCCATCCTCGACCCTTACCTCACGCCGCACGGAAAGAGTAACCGTAGAGCTAAAACTACTACAAAACTGTAAGACAGCAGAGGAGAGAGCTGGGGGACCTGGGCGGCCACACGCCAAAGAACGGAACGGGACCCCGCGCTGAGACCGCACACGAAACTCAAAACAGACGAGAGACTCGAATGTTAAGACCTGAAACCATAAACCTTCTAAAAGAAAACATCGGCCTTGGCGGTGATTTTTTGAATCTGACACCTAAAGCACAAGCAACAAAAGCAAAAACAAACAAGGGGGCCTACATCTAACTCAAAAGCTTCTGCCAGCGCGTGCTGAGCCCATAAAAAGCTTCTGCACAGCAGAAGACATCATCGACAAAACGAAAAGGAAATACTTACGAATCATATACACGATAAGGGTTAAAACCCAAAACACATAAAGAACTCATACAACTCAATCCCAAATAAAACGAGCAATGCGATTGAAAGATGGGCAGAGGCCTTGAAAAGTCTTTTTCCAAAGAAGACATGCGGATGGCCAACAGGTACATGGAAAGATGCTCGACATCACTAATCACCAGGGAAATGCGAATCAAAAGCACGATGCGGTACCACCTCACGCCTGTTAGAATGTCTATTATCAAAAAGACAAGAAAAGCAGTGATGGTGAGGACATGGAGAAGAGAACCCTTACGAACTGCTGGTGGGAATGTAAACTGGTGCAGCCGCTCTGAAAAACAGTACGGACTTTCCTCGAAAATTAAAAATAAAGCTTCCGTATGATCCGGCAATCCCGCTTCTGGGTATTTATCCAAAGAAAATGAAAACGCTGATTTGAAAAGGTATCTGCACCCCCAGGTTCACTGCAGCATTACTGAAAATGGCCAAGATATGGAAACAGCCTAAGTGGGTATCAATCGATCAATGGATAAAGAAAAATGTGACACACACACAGTGGAATATTATTCACCAACGAAAAAGAATGAAATCTTGCCATGTGTGGCAATGTGGATGGACCCCAAGGGAATTATGCTGAGTGAAATAAGTCAGAGAAACACAAATTCCGTACGCTCTCACTTACAGGGGGAGTTAAAAAAACAAACAAGCTCATAGATACAGAGAACAAACAGATTGGTGGTTACCAGAGGTCAAAAGGTACAAACTTCCAGTTATAAAATGAATAAGCCACGGGGATGTCATGGACATCATGACAACTACAGGTAATAATACTATATTGCATATTTGAACGTTGCTAAGAGAGATCTTAAAAGTTCTCATCACGAGAAAAAAGTTTTTGTAACTATGGAAGATGATGCATTTTGGTGATCATTATATATATTTGCAATGTATATGAATATAAACCATTATGTTGTACACCTGAAACTAATACAACGTTTTTTTAAAAAAGAGACGAAATAGGAGAAAACCTCATGACCTCAGGTTTCACAAAGAATTCTTCAACAATTCACAAAAAGCATGAACCCAAAAATTCAATAAATTGGACTTCACTAAAATTAAAAACTTACGCTCTTCAAAAGTCACTGTTGAGAAAACGCATCGGCAAGCCAAACGAGAGACAACATTCACGTGTATATCTGACAAAGGACTGCCATGCAGAATATACACAGGACTCCTGTCACTCGACAAGAGAAAAGTAATAAATGGGCGCAAGCCTTGAACAGTCACTTCTGAAAAGATGTACAAACGGCCCATGCCCTTGATGAAAATGTAACCGACGGCAACCTTCCTCAGGGAGACGCAATGAGACACCACGTCCCACCCGTGGGAACGGCTGAAATTTCAAAGACTGACATCACCAAGGCCCACAAGGATGTAGAGCAACTGGAAGCCGCATGCGCGGCTGTGGGCGTCGATGGCGCCTCCCTCTGCGCCACCAGAGCGCCGATTTAACGTTACAGGGCTGTTCCCACACCTACCACGGGACGGCAATCCCGCTCTTGGGGATCTACCTGACAGCGGTGTCCCTCTGAGCCCGGGCCCTCCCAGAACAATGTCCCCGATACCTGCGCCCTCCCCCAGGTGGCACGCTTCCTGCACTTTTTGGCCCCCAGCTTTTGTCCCATGATGCAGCTTGGAGGATGTCCCAGTCGGGGCTCTGGGCGCCCGCCTCCACTGTCGTCGGCTGCGCGATGCCCCTGTGCGCAGCTGGGTATCCGGCTGTCCCCCATCTCCCGCCCACACATGGCGCCAGCCCAGCGCCCCGCGCCTCACCTCGTAGTCCTGCAGCAGCACGGTGTGGGTGAGGCTCTTGTCCAGGCACAGCTCCGCGAGCTTCCGGCAGGTGCGTCGGACGTGCAGAACCAAGTCCGTGCTGGGGATGTGGCTGAGGATGTGCAGGAGGATCTCATCGGAGAAGCCCAGCAGGTGGGCCCCGCTTGGCACCGCAGCCGCCGTGGGGGGCATGTCGCCATCGCTGCACAGGTCCTGAAACAAGGGGGCACCAAGTCTCCATGGGATCCCCAAGGGCGGCCCTCGCCCGGCCTCCCCGGCCAGAGGGAGAAGCCAGCTGGAGCCCTTGCCACAGTCCGTGGGAAAGAAGGGGCTTTGACTGAAAACCTTAACTGCCAAGCAAGAACCCACGACAATCTTCGAAAGCCTCTTTTCCAACTGCGCACCGAGATCTCTCTTCAAAAGCAACAGATTCGAAATGAAATTTGAATTTTTTTGAAATTTAAAAGCGATTTTTTTTTTCCTGCTAAGCGTCTCCGATCAAGCCTGGCACGTTTCAGACTCAACCGACGACCATCGGTCAAGGTCCTGTGTCTGTGAAAGCTGCTACCCCGCAACTCAGCCCAAATGTCAGCTGTATTCCTAAGCCCTGAGGAAGAAACTCTACAAATAAGACACAGCACCAACTAGACTAGTGACCTCTTTAAACCTTGCGATGAGTAATCAGTGACAGAGACCGCACGATTTATCCGCACTCATCACACGTCTGGTTAGACACCCATGCTGGTATTTCCGATAAGACGCCCACGTCTCGTTTTGCTTTGGAGATCGCTGCCGAAGGTTTTCCTCCCGTACGCGGGCCTCTGTCCTCCTGGACGACGCCTTGCTGTGCACAATCAAGAGAGGGGCTCGACCGAGGTTATTGTGACACGAAGTCCCTAAGTCAAGCCCAAGGGGATTCAGATGCTCTAAGGGGAGCCCGTGGGGGAGGAATCCCTGATTCTCCCCAGCACCTCCCGAAGGGATGCTCCTGCCTGAAAAACGTCCTCACTGCGGAGACCCTCTGACCTCCCCTGGGAGAGCGGGCAGCATTAGCGCTACTGCCTTTTCCAGCGATTCTGCCTACCAGCCCCTCCTCCTCCAGCCTGCCTCTTTCCCAAACGTATTTTTGTGGATGGAAGCGTTGAGGCTTGGCAAGCCCTGCTGCTGCCATGGCAACAGTGAAGTCTGGAGAGGAAGAGCCTGTCTGCACCCCGCAGCAGGCACTGCAGGGTTCCTGGGACCTCTGATTGCGGCACCCCCTACCCTGGCCTGACGGTCTCTGCAGCCAGCCAAGCCCTGGCCAGGCCAGGCCAGGAAGGGGCTCCCATGAATATTTCCCACGTTCCCGTCTCCGCAAGAGGCAGCGGCCAGGCGCGCCTCCACTGCCCCTTCCATCTGGCCTGCCCTCGACGCTGTGTCACTACTCCCAGCGTCCACCAGGGCAGAAGGCGGCCGGCAGTGGCACATCCACAGCTGCCACGGCTTGCTGTATGCTGCGCCCAGTGTTTCGGGCTGTAAGTGGCTTTACTTAAAAATTTCCCGACCCAATCACCCAGGCACCTGTTAACAATAGGATTCCTAGACCCCAGCCCAGACCTAGGGGCTCCATCTCCAGGGAAAGACTCAAACAGGGAAGTCCTCAGCAGGCAGGCTCAACGAACAGGACTCTGGCACCAAGAGGGCCTGGGGACAAGCAGGAGGAACCTGAGGCCTACCTGTCCTGATCCCCAACCTGCAGATTTACCAAAGAATGTCATCACAGAGCGACAGGAACACAGGGCAAAACAGTGCATAAAACCCCCAGTCCTATAATTTTCAGTGACACTACTAATGCCCAATCTCCATAAAAACACCTAGAAATTACAAGAATTATATTTAAAAAAAAAAAAAAAAAAAAGCCAGGCATTGAGTGCTGGCTCCTTCTGTCCAGTCTCGGCACATCCCGCAGATGACTCTTTCCACAGGCTATGTCCCCTGGCGCTGGGGCGGGCCTGGAGGAGCAGCCCGCTGGTGGCCCGACAGCCGATGCCAGGAGGCGGCTGCCAGGTCTGCCAGCTGGGTCTTTCCCCTGGCTCGGAGGCTTCCTGAGGCACGCATCCATCGCGTGAGTCAGAGCACCATGCCCCCAGGAGAGGCGGCAGCTCCGGGGAGGCAACAACCAACAGAAATGCCCTCCGAGTGTCGTTTGTCACGTAGAAATGAGGCCCGGGGACATGCCCACCTCCACACACACCCAAATACACTTCTACCTGCTTCCCTCTGCCTCTCTGGACAATGTAGTCTCAGCCATTGGGGAAACTGAGGCAGACCTGTGTTCCAGCTTTAAAAAAACTGGGTAAGTAGCTGAAGGTCGGAGGGCAAACAATGCCTAAGGCAGGGCTGAGCCGAAACTGCCCTTCCGTCCACCAGCAGAATCGGGCCGCTAGGCTTCCTAAAAGGTCCAGGCCAGGCACTTCCTAATGTCCCAGAGATTCCCATTCAGGGGTGAGGGGTGCGGGAGGTGATCTTTATCAGGCACGTCTGGGAACCAGGAGGCCAGAACGAGATAACGACAACTGGAAAGGAGTTTAAAAGGGTTTAGTTATTCACTAAACTGTGTTGTATGCACTTTTCTGAATGTGTAACATTTCACATTTTTTTAAAAAGTGAAACAAAATTAAGTATTGAAACCTTAGTACCTGACCAAAACACATCCCCTTCCAGATGTTTACCATCTGTTTGTCAGTTAGGCACCCGAAGTAGTCACAGGATTCAAAAATGAACAGGTAGGATGTGTGGGAAGTGCTCTAACTAGTCCAGAAGGAGATGGGAGAGACACGGAGGAGCCGAGACTGGCCACGTGCTCACAAGCACGGAAACGGGGGGTGGGTACACACTCACTCTGTGCCGAGTGTGTGCAGTTTCACCTTTTTTTTTGAATTCACAAGAGCAACGTGAAAGGACGCATAATGTTAAGGTCTCCACTCTTTCTACGTTCCATTCTTTACCTCTTCTTAAAGTCTTTGCTTCTCTAGTTGGCGTTTTCTGGAATGTCCCCTAATACACAGCACTCAATCCTCTCAGCTCACTCATTCTGCGCTAGGCCAGAAACGCCTCTCCAACAGGGATCATTTTTTAATACTCAAGAGAAAGAGAAACCGAACCAGGTGAGTCAACGGAGCACCTGCTTCAGAATCATCTTGAGTGCTGTGAAAAACGGGGCCCTCGGGCGAGGGAAGAAAGAAAAAAAAAAGCGGAGCCCCGCTCCTCTCAAACCCTGGGAGGACTCCTGGACATCCGCATTTTAAAGCCAGCAATGACCTTCAAAATCAGAAGGCCCCATTCTGGAGTCAGACGGTAGGAATGGCTACACAACCTCGTGAATGTATTTTTTTAAACCACTGAAAGGTACACTTTAAAAGTGTGAAATTTATAGTATGTAAATTATATCTTCATAAATAAATAAAAAATCAGACTATCCCAGGAAAAGAGACCTTGATCTCCACATCCAGGTACAAGACTCCCCTCTCTCCTCTCATCCCGAGAGATGCCCACAATGCGACAAGAGGCCTTACTGGCCAGGTTCCCAAGATGCTTCAAGGAACAGGTGGGACCTTTGTGCCAGGACCCCATAAGTGCAAGGGACCAGAACCCCCCATCTCCACCCCAAGTACACACAACTAACCAGGAACCTGCTACAGCTCCGGGCTACCCCAGAACTCTTTCTCAAGCAGCTGTGGCTTTCTGGTCCTTCAATCCTACCACCAATCTGCAGGTGGGACCCTCCCCTTCAATCAAGGAGCCACAGGCACTTCTGAGCCAAATTCACTTCAAATGAAGAGGAACTGTCAGCAGCCCCCAGCCACCTTCCACATACCCGCATCCCATCCACTTCTGTTCCCCAGCCACAGGCAGTCCCCTAGGACAGGAAGTATGCTGAGTCCTGGATGACAGATATAAACACAGGTACACATAAAGGAAGGTGGAAAGCAACAAAAGGCAAGACACTAGTCAGAGTCCAGATTCCCCACACCCTGGTCTGCAGAGAAAATACTTTGCACTACTTCACAAGGAGTCGGTGGGATTCTCCATCGGACCCCGATGTGTGGAGTGTTGGGGAAGAAATTCCAGGGTAAATCCTAGGTTCCCCTGGTGAAATGGCTTTTCCTCCACTAACCCCCAAGTCACACGAGCAGGCTCAGAGAAAAATGGGCTGGACTTGAACCGAGCATTCAGAGATAGAGGCTGGGGTGCGAAGCGGTCACGGAGGGGGACCGTCTCAGAGGTACAGGGGCACGGGGCAAGTGCCTGGGAGGCCTACAGAGCCTGGAAACTGTGGGAGCGGAGAGGCGGGTCAGACTTCTGGCGACTAGGACTGCGGGGCTGGGAAAGGCATGGAAAACCGAACCCGGAGAGAGCTCGTGCCTTCGGAGATCAGGGCGAAGGCCTGGGGGGCGGGATGGGGCAGGGGCGAGATGAAAGGGACAGGCCGAGGCCAAGGCCAAGGTCGAGACAGGAAGGACCAAGGCCGGCCGACGCCAGGGTCGGGGTGAAGAGGACCAAGCACATCGGGGTCGGGACAGGAAGGACGGAGCGGGATAGGGGGGCCGGGAGAAAAAGGACGCAGGGGGACCGGAGTCGGGATGAGAAAGACCGAGCGGGGCCGAAGCCGCCGGGCAGGGAGGACAGCGGAGAGAGGCGCCGGCCGTACCTCTCCGGAGCTGGCCATGTCCACGGCGGGCCGAGCCGCGGCTGCCGGAGCCGCAGCCCCAGGGTCTCCCGCCCAGCCGACCAGGGATGCTCAAAGCCGGCGCGTCCTCGGTTCCACAGAGACCCCGGCAGGGGGCGGGGCCTCCCCTAACTTCCGGCGCCCTCGGCTACGCACTTCCTCTCGCCCTGCGCGATCGCCATGTTGGGTGCGGCGCTGCCGACGAGGCCCCGCTGAGGCGCGGGTGAGCCCGCGAGGACCCACAGGGCCCCTGCTCTCTGACCGCATCTCCTGATTTTAATACATTTAAATTCAAATAGCCGCATGTGGCTGGTGGGCCCCCATTGGACGGTGCCGCAAAAGCGAAGCTCCATGAAGACAGGGACAATGTCTTCATGTTACTGCTGTTCCCCCAGCCCCCAGCACTGTGTGGCTGCTCCAAATACAAGCAGACTGATGAATGACTGAGTGAAGAAAGGTACCAGCCCCTGGCAGGGGTCTCTGAATGATTCCAGCCCCTGTGTCCCTTGGGTAATTGCAGGCCAGAACATGTGTTCAAATCCTGACACCTCCGAGCTGTCTTACCTGCCGAGCCTCAGTTTCCTCACAGGGAAGAGGACTGCCCCTCATCAGTGGGACCGCGGGCAGCCTCCCTGCGTTCTCACCGCCAGGTCCCAAGGAGGTGTCAGGACGAAGGGAGGGACCCCGGGTTCCAAGCTCCGGCACTAGCCAGGGCTGTCCTCGGAGGGGCTTGTTGGAGTGCAGTTTGCCCGGGCAGGGCTGCTCTGCAGAGGAGGGGCATTCCCGCGAGAAGGTCTCGGCTCATTAAAAAGGTGCACCTCAGGTTGTCAGAGCTGCCCCCGGGGGTCGCTCTCATCCCACAGCAGGGGAAGGTGCAGAGGGGATAGAAGGAGAGTCCCCATGTCTATAAAATGGACACGGTCGTGGTGAAGTGAGCCTTGGTTGTCTGGCCTGTCACTCTGTACTCGGAGGCCATGAAGCAGGCAGTGATGGGACTTTGTAGGTTTTAGGGTTAAACTCCAGCCTTCTCACTTCTGAGGTGCATACCCTGGGGCCAGCGAGCTGTCCCTGCTGACCTCATTTTTCTAACCGGTAAGTGTGTGCTAAGAAGATGGAGGCTGTGTGGCGTCCTCTCGCTTAGCCTGCCTTAGGAAGGAAGGAGCAGGTGTGCTAAGAAGATGGAGGCTGTGTGGCGTCCTCTCCTTAGCCTGCCTTAGGAAGTTGGGCCTTTGCTCTAAGCCAGGCGTCACAGGGTCAGCCCAGCTGCAGGCCTGGGAGGGAAGGAGCAGCGCCTCAAGGACTCTCAAAGTCAGATGTGTGTCTTCCCTGCACTTCTGGAGCTTTTCAAAGGAAAAGCTTGATGGAGCAGCTGCTCACAACCAGCTCTCCAGTTGTCACTGACATTCCCATTATTTAGGTGTGCACATGGACAGTGACTTGACTTCTGGGACATCGGGCCCCAACCACCCTCCCGTTCTTCCCCGAGGGTTGTGTCTCCAGTCTCTGGGCCTCTGTCCCCAGTGAATCCAGGCCTCTGTCTGAGATACCCATGCCTACACATCCACCTGGCCAGGTAACTCTGTCTGGCCTCCTGGGCCAGCTCAGACATCCTTCCCACAGGAAGCCTTCAGAGGAGAGTGATGGCTCCCTACCCACCAGTCATCCAAGTTTATGACCCTTTATTACCTTTCTGTTGTTCAAAAAAGGCAAAATTACAATTGCTTTTTCTTTTTTACCTGTATTTCTTTTTTTTCCACTTTATTGAGGTACAATCTGATGAGTTTTGATGTGTCTACGCCCATGACACCATCACCATGGTGACCATCTTCATCACCATGATCCTGTCTTTCTCACACACAGCTGCCGCACCCTTCATGAGCACAGCTAGTAATTATACATTCATTTGTTTGCCTACATATTTATTGTCTCTCCTGGTTAAACTGGACACCTCACAAAGGCAGGAAACACACCTGGTCTCTTAACTGCACCCCCATCCTTGGCACCATGTCTGGCACAAATAGTGGTTGGAGGAAGGGTCTTTCTTCCCAGACTGACAGCTCTTTCACAACAGGGTGTGTGCCCAGCCCATCTCAGTAGCCTCAGGCCCAGCCGACGGTGGGCTGTCACGGAAAAAATGTCCATGGAATGAATAAGTGGCCCAAGATGGAAACTTACTTGGAGCTCAGAGCCCAGGGCACACCACCACCCCTGAATTGGCCCAAAAGAGCTGGAACTGGCTCAGGAGGGGCTTCCTTCCACAGACTCTGCCTCTTGGGCTTCTAAGACTTCGCAGGGTTGGGAGACAGAGCCACAGAAGTTGTCCTGAGTGCTCTGTGTTCCCACCACCTCTGGGCCTGCAGCTGCAGCCCAGGATGCCCGCAGGAACAGGATGGATTCTGGAGCACTCGCTGTGCACCTGCTGCGGCGTTTTAGGTACTGAAGTAGGAACACCTGACCCCGTGAACTAGGAGACCGCAGGCTCCTGTTTGGTTTTGGAAGCCACCACAAGGTCCCAGAACAGTCTCCTTCCCACGGACGAAGATAATCACCTTCACTAATAGTAAAATGACTCGTCTCTCCAGAACTGGAGTCAGCCACAGCTCCGAGTGGGTAAATCTCCGCTCCTTCTCTATAAAATGACACTGGAGGGCGCAGTAGAGCGCTGGAGGGAGCTGGGGGGTTGGGGAGAGGGGCTCAAATCTGGATTGATTTAGGAATCATTTCTGTGCCTCTCATTCCCTCTGGAGAAATGGGGCGGGGGGGGGCATCATTCCCTACATTCTCTGCTGGTGTCGGCAGCTGCTGGCAGATGGAAGGCAGGCCAGGCTTGGCTTTCTTCTCGGAGGCATTTGACTCAGAGCCCTGCCCAAGTCAGATGCTGCCTCCCTCTCTTCCTGCTTTTCTATGTCTATTGTCTCACTGTCCCTCTCACTCTGCCTGAGGCCACACTGTGGAGTGTTATCTATCCGTTTTCTAATAAAATTTCCTAAGTCAGATGCTGACTTTCAGCCCTGTGTGGCTGCTTCCCCTGCAGACTTAGGCCAGTCCTGCACTTGAGGGTGCGCAGAAAGGTACCCACATTCCAGTTACAAGGCAGAACCCGGACTCCCCCAGAGCCAACTAGAGCCACCTCTGCCAAACATCCCCTTGACCTGCCCCCAGCCTTGGACGCAGGGTGCCAGCCTGCAAACCCCTGGGAAAGTCCCCCCTTTGGCTGTGCAGGTACTGTCACTCCAGGTGAGCTGGCAGGCGAGGGTGGTGGCCCTGTCCTCAGCCTGAGCCCCAGGCCTGTGAGGGTAGCCTAGGAGCCAATACTACTGTGGCACCCCATTCCAAGAAGATACTAAGATCAGAAAGAGACCCTCTCCCAGGAAGCCCCCACTCACAGGGTCAACCACCCTACCCCGAGGTACTGTACCTCAACACCTCACTCCCCAACATCTATATAGCCCCACTCCCCACTCTTGAAGCAGCTGGACCTCAGAACCCAGTGAGAAAAAGGTTATTTGGGGGACAGGTAGAAAAACCAGACCAGAGAAATCTTTTAAAAATAAGGTCTGGAGGCCAGGATCCTTAACTCCTCACGCAAGCCCGCCAGCCATCCAAGACTGTTCAATGTCATGGTTAGAACACCTCAATCCCCCCAGAAGATCGGGCTGGCCTGGCCTGGCCTGCCCCACCCTTCTCCCAGCTGTACCACTGCCCAAAACCCATCCACACCACGAAGACACGTTTCTTTAAGGTGTGCACTTTATTGAACTGGTCTCAAGTTTCAGTGTACAGGTAAGCCCTGGCTGCCTCCACACCTCGACCACCTCCCCGGGAGACCAAAAGCCTTCATACATCTCAAGTTGTGGGACGAAAAGGGGGCCATGATGGCTGACCATTCAAAATAAAACAAAACAAAAAAAAACAAGTATTAAGGCGAAGATTAAAAAAATTTGGATTACATAATTTACACAAAAGCAATGCTATCACCCTCCCCTGTGTGGACTCGGGCGAGGACTGGCCCTTAGGGAGAAGTGGGGCAGCTTTTGGGCAGGCAAGGGACTTCCTGTAACAATGCATCTCACGATATTTGGAATGACTATTAAAAAAAAGAACAATGTACAATCAAAGTCCTCGGCCACACTGTAGACTTTGGGGATGCTCGCTCCAACCGACTGCTGTCACCTTCACCGTTCCAGTTTTTAAATCCTGAGTCAAGCGCCAAAAAAAAAAAATTAAAAAAAAAAAAAAAAAAAGAAACAAATAAAGCCATGCCAATCTCATCTCGTTTTCTGCGCAAGTTAGGTTTTGTCAAGAAAGGGTATAACCAACTAAGTAACAGTCCGCCTAGAAGCATTTGCGGTGGACGATGGAGGGGCCGGACTCGTCGTACTCCTGCTTGCTGATCCACATCTGCTGGAAGGTGGACAGCGAGGCCAGGATGGAGCCGCCGATCCACACAGAGTACTTGCGCTCAGGGGGCGCAATGATCTGGAGAGAAGAGAACAGGTAGTGTTAAGGACCCTGGATGGCACGGCCCTGTGGCTATGCATCACACCATAAAGGTTGCCTTGACAACAAAGGGACCTGCCGCCAGACCACTGTCAGACTGGTACGCTCACCTTGATCTTCATTGTGCTGGGAGCCAGGGCGGTGATCTCCTTCTGCATCCTGTCAGCAATGCCTGGGTACATGGTGGTCCCACCAGACAGCACCGTGTTGGCGTAGAGGTCCTTGCGGATGTCAACATCGCACTTCATGATGGAGTTGAAGGTAGTTTCATGGATGCCACAGGATTCCATGCCTGAGGAGAATAGCGGCCAGACTTAGCTTCCCGGGTGGCCACAAAGGTGACCTTTGTGTGAGGCAGAGAGAGGGGGCCTTACTCACCCAGGAAGGAGGGTTGGAAGAGGGCCTCGGGGCAGCGGAAGCGCTCGTTGCCAATGGTGATGACCTGGCCGTCGGGCAGCTCATAGCTCTTCTCCAGGGAGGAGCTAGAGGCCGCAGTGGCCATCTCCTGCTCGAAGTCCAGGGCGACGTAGCACAGCTTCTCCTTGATGTCACGCACGATCTCCCGCTCAGCCGTGGTGGTGAAGCTGTAGCCACGCTCCGTGAGGATCTTCATGAGGTAGTCCGTCAGGTCCCGGCCAGCC